TCCTCCGGCTGAGGGTACACAGAGGTCCTCCCTCAAGTAATGTATAAAATTAATGGAATCACAGTAAGAATTACCAACAGAAGCTACTTCTTTCCTGAGCTAGTCCAGCTCTTCAAGCTCGTCTGCGTGTACACCAGCCTGCAAGGAGAAATAGGGGAGTGAGGGTACAGCCCCGGCAGAGTCTGAAAGCTCCAGAACCCTCTGTCCTTACAGCGGCAGCGTACTGGGCACGGGCAGCAGACGGTCGGACGGAATGGGAACCTGGGGAACAGACCCAAGTACTGGTGGAAATTTGATGGGGGATAAAGAGGAGTCTCGGTGTGGCGGGAGTGGCGGGAGTGGCCTTCCAGATAAATGCCGTTGACACGATCCGATGGCCACTGTGAGAAGAGAACGGTGTGTCCTTCCCTCACACCACACACAAGAACATGCGTCCGAGATGTCACACGTGCTCCACGAGATGTCACTGCGAACTAATGGCTGAGGTGGACAACCCACAGCCTGTGTGCACAGCCTGACCCAGAGTCTGTGAATCGTGCTCTGTCCTCTGGGGGTCTCAGAATGGGCTGGTACGCCTCCCACGTGCCGTGGACGTTTTGACCGCGGCTTTTGTTTGCAGACTGATTTGAGAGCACACGAGTGGGAGTGGGAGGGCAGAGGGAGAGAGAGAGAATCCCATTCAGACTTGGGGCCACGCGTGGAGCCTGATGCCGGGCTCCATCTCCCCACCCTGAGATCATGACCCGAGCCGACACCAGGAGTCGGCCGCTTGACTGACTGGGCGCCCCCGACACGCCTCGACTGTGGCTCTTCAGCGGAATTGCTTCCTTGGGCTCTTCTACCTTCTGCCCCCACAGGCTTGCTTGCCGTGGGTCTCCGTTTCCGTCTTAGGTACCCAGTGTTCATGGTTCCAAGTGCGTGATGCCTAAACTCGATTTGTAAAGTGTCTTCTGTCACCCCCTAAAAGCTTATAAGACCCCCAGGGCTTGCAGAGAGAGCGGCCAGAGCCCAGCTCCGCCCGGTGATACCTGCCGATGGGTGCCCGGGTGTTGTCTCTGGGGCGCCTGGCTCTGAACCGGCTCGGCCAGATCTGGAAGGAGCCCGCTGTCTGCTGACGGGGCTGTTAGTTGAGCCCCAGTGGAAGGTACCAGTGGGACAGTGGCTTCGCTCTGGGGACTGTGCCACTGGGGCAGCGCTGCTGCCTTGGCTTGAGAGTGCGGATGTGGGGCTCTGTCGGGCCGTGAGGCGCAGACGGACGGGGTTTACTAACTGCTGCCACGGAGCAGACTCCCTGAAGATGCCAACGGTGTTTGTCGTTTCCATCACTGTAGATGACAGTGAAGCCGCGTGAGTAAAACCTGGTCACTGTGCCACTGCGCTTGAGCAGGAGGGAAGCCGGCTGTGTTAATGCCTAGCCACCCTGAACGACAGGTAAAACCCCGCCACGCTCGTGCCATCGCACGCGGGCCTCCCTGCAGCCTGACGCCCTTGCCCGGGCCGGGGTGCGGGCGGGGGTGGTCTCCACTGCGCGCAGCCCCTGGGACATTCTGCTCAGCGGTTAGCTGGCCTCACGCGTTCGTTCATTCATGTGTTCATCCGCTCTTCCCGGGGCCGCCCCGGGCTCCTGCTGTGTGGCCGGGCACTGGGAGGTGCAGAGACAGATGAAGCGTGGGTGGCGGCCCCTGCCCCGGGAGCTTGTCGCTGTCCGGGCTGGGGTCGTGTGACAGAGGTACAGGCCAGAGCCCATCGCGTGACGGGTGGGGCCACGGCCCGATTTCCGGGGAGGGCTGAGCCCGAGCGGGGCCCTCAGACAGGCCACCTGAGCACATGTCGCCGGACACTGTGGCGGCGAGCTGGGGCTTTCTGGAGAATTCCCCAGAGATGCTTAGGCTCTCGGGAGGGAACTGCTGGCACCCTTCTCCGTGCCGCAGGCTGCATCTCAGAGGCCACCTCCTCCCGCTCTGGGAGAGTGTGGCTTGGGTCCGCCAGCATTTTCCCATCCACTTTGAGCAACGACTGATTTGGTTCCACAAAGAGGCGATGACGTTGAGTTTGCCACATCTGGCCCAGTTGATGGATTCAAAATGTAGTCGTGTAAAATGTAATGTTTCGGCATTTCTGGAGGAGACTTCTCCCCATTTCATAATAACCTTCAAGCAGTTTCTCAGCTTTGATCTGGTTGACCCTGGGGGCCAGATCATTCTCTAGCGTGGGGCTGCGCTGAGGGGCAGCCTGGCCCCCACCCACGCTGGGAACCTGTCCAGACGCCGGCTGCTGTCTTCAGAGGGGCAGAGTTCCCGGAGACCAGGGCCTTTGAAGAGCTCGCAGATACCTAGTGTGGAGCTCAGCCGCCTGATTTCTCGCTGGTGTGGACGTGGCCTTGGCAGAGGCCGCCCTTGTTCAGGCGTGGGTGTCAGGATGGCGGCGGCCCTGGGCAGCAGTGCGGGGACTGAGCTGGACGGCTGTGTGTTCATGACTAAGTCGCTAGGGTTCTTGGAAAATGATGATCGTCATTCCTGCCCCTAAAACCCCAGGTCATCAGTGTGGGCTTTGGAAACCTGTCTGGGGTACATGTCCCTCACATAAAAATGATCTATCTTATTTGGTGGAAAAAGGCATTTAAAACTGTGGACCCAGGGATGCCTGGGTGGCTCAGTTGGTTGAGCGGCTGCCTCCCACTCAGGTCATGATCCCCCTGTCCTGGGATCGAGCCCTGCATCGGGCTCCTTGCTTGGCGGGGAACCTGCTTCTGCCACTGCCTCTGCCTGCCACTCTGCCTGCTTGTGCTCGCTCTTGCTCTCTGACAAATAAATAAATAAAATCTTGAAGAAAAACCCACAAAAACCACGGACCCTATTTTGATGTAAGATTGGCGGGCTGACAAATGGATTTCTTCTCTTCCATTTTCTTAGGACAGGGCTCTCTCCCAAGGTAGCGAGGGAGTAGGAACAGCGGGTATTGGCATTATTAATGCAGGACAACTTGGGTTTATTGTTCTTTTTAACGCTGTTTTGTTTACTGTGTATTTTAGAAGTAGTTTCAGAACACGTTTTTTAAAAGATTGAGGTTAGTTAGAAGTCCTGGTTGTTTCTGTTTTGTTTGGAGGGACAGAAAGTGCGAGCGCGTGCAAGGCGGGAGGGGGCAGAGGGAGAAGGAGAGTGTCAAGCAGGCTCCATCTCACGACCCCGGGACCATGACCTGAGGTGACTCCAAGAGTCAGATGCTCCACTGACTGAGCCACCCAGGTGCCCTCAACCCCCTGGTTTTGATGGAGCTGTTAGGTGGTAGGGGGCTCTTGGGGCATTCTGAGAGCTGTCTTGAGGACGGGGGTCGTCGGAGTGAAGCGAAGGGGCACGGGGTAGGGGGTGTGTAGGATGCACCGTGAAGACAGGACGCGTACCTGTGGGCCCCAAAGATGTTCCTGTGGCAGCGGGAAGGGACCGGGAGGGAGCCCTGCCGTGGTGGCGGGGTGAGGGAAGGGCTGGGGCCTCTCCATGGCCTCCGGGGCTCCCCGAGGGGCCGCTCCGTGTGAAGGCTGCCCTTGGTTGCTCACAGGTTCTGGGGGGAAGGGGAGAAGGAACTGATGAAGTCCATCCTGGGTTAAGTGAGTATTAACTAGAAGTATTTTTATGTAAACGAGCTGTTGAAAATCTCCGTAAGATTTCAACTCACAGACCTTGAAACAAGATGGGAAGGCAGTGGTGTGATTTCAGGGCCCATCTTCTCTTGCAGGTCAGGGTGAAGAGAACCCCGGTGCCTGGGGCTTGTATCTGGCCAAGCACGTGGGTTGGGTGGGGCTGTGTCCTTAGTCTGCCTTGCATTTTCCTAAAACCTTTCTAAGGGGAAAGTTCTAGTAGAAGGGCGGGGTGGGTGCTTTGTTGCGGTGTGTCCTGTGGGTACAGAATGCGCTCCCAAGCCCATGGAGGCGCCAGGACAGTGGGAATGTGGGGCCAGGGTCAAGAGTTGGTCACCGGTAGGAACGGCGTGTGTGGGTTGGGAGTCTGTGAGCCCCTAGACAAGATACTCGAGTTTGTGATGCAGGCACTTTTCTCCTGGAGAGGGGCCGTAACCCGCCAAGGTCAAAGACCACCGCTGTAGACAGCCCACAGCATGCACTCAGCTGCCTTTTGGTGGGCTTGGAACACCCCCCCCATCCCCACCGCCCCTGCCCTGCGGGTGGCAAGCCACCCATCCTTGCTCGACCCGCCTCCCTGCTGTCCACTCCTGGGCGGCATCTCTGCTCCTTTATCCGGCCTCCCTGCCTCCCCAGCCTCTCCTTCCCACCCCCAAAGGCTGCTGATTCTTGCTAGTTCTCACTGTCTCAAGAGCCAAAAGCGGAACCCTCTCCTGCTGTCTGCCCTTCCTTGTCCTGTCTTCACCCCAACCTGGGATCAGATCATACAAGAAGACGCTTCTCTAGGAGTCAGGGTTTGTCTTCTCCACGGCTGAGCCGGAGGCAGCATCAGAGAGCTGTGGCGATCCGAGGTCGGGGTCTCCCGGGTGGCCCAGAACCAGTCCACAGAGCACCTGGACAGCCAGGGGGTGGGAGGCCACATGGCGGCCACCCCCGACTGACTCTCTGCTGGGGTTGTTTTCCTCTTTTGCAGATCAACCAGTCGCTCGATGGGGAGCAACGGCGGACCCCCTTCTTGTGTCACCTTCCCACCTCTCTGTAGCAAGAAAAATAACTTCAGCACCGCTTCGATAACGATGATGGAGCTAGTATTAACTGAATGGCAATTATGGATTTTTAACTCTAATTCACAGTAAACCAGCAAGCCGTGTGCTTACAGTCCGACCAAACATCATTTCGTTTTGCTGCGTGCCTCGCCCGTTCGTGAGAAGTTGAGAGATCTCTGTCTGTACACGGAGGGATATAAGCACCGCTCGCCAGAGGAACACAACTGACGCGGAGAGAGAAGGCGTCCTCCTTTATCCTTAACGATACCCGATAGCATTATCTATATAGGCAGAGGAGATCCATATACACGCATATATCTATGTTTCTGGTGGTAATGAGAATGGCCCCACAGAACGCCGACTCGGAGTCTATGCAAGTCCAGGAGCTACCCGTGGCCCTGCCAGACCTGCAGAAGCCAGGCAGCGCCGACGCCCGCGAGGAGACCATCAGCGAGGGGTCCATAGACCGGATCCCCGTGCGCCTGTGGGTGATGCACGGGGCCGTGATGTTTGGCAGGGAGTTCTGTTACGCCATGGAGACGGCGTTGGTCACACCGGTCCTCTTACAGATTGGTAAGTGCCGTCCGCGCCTCTGCCCGGTGTCCGGTGCCGACCGTTGGCAGTCGCGCTTGGAGCTCGCGCGCATGTTGGCACGCCGGGCTTGTCAGTGCGCTGGACAGCGTCAGGAGCCCTGGGAGCCAGCGTCCCGGGCTTTTTGCTCCCCTCCACCTCCTCTGGCCATTTTTTTCCTCCGGCGGGTGGGCCTTGGGTGTGGATGAGGAAGTACCTGTTTTGGCAAGGGGGCAGTCGAGTGCTGGGGTGTGCGTGGTCAGCTTCCGGTCACTCTAATCGCGGGGGTGCCCGGCTCCCCTGCGGTACCTCCCACCCTTCTCCTGCCTCCCGGACGTGGTCACCAGCCTTGTCCCGGGGCAGGCCAGGGAACCTCCCTGACCCTCCCTCACCTTCCTTCCCAAGGAGGGGGGGTGGCTGCAGACCATCTCCCAGTCAGGCACAAGGCAAGTGCTTGGAACAAAGCCCGGCCTGGAAAACCCAGAATCACGTTGTTTTTATCACCAGCTTCTTGTTGATGACTTAAATCTGAGTTTCGAGTGGACGTTGCATGGCTGAATGACAGGTATTTCCAGAAGTACTGGAGTTCGCGGAGTTGCTCAGTGAGCCTTACAAAGCCCCATACGGGAAGACCGTGGCGTCCCCTCCGGATCACCGCTGGGGGGCCTTAGGCCCTGTGTGTTTTGTCGGTGTTCAGTTTCCCTCTTGCTTAAGGGAGTTTGAAAATCTGCAACTTTCCAGCCTCTGAGCCTCCTGGATAAGGGGCTGAGCTGTTAAACGTCTTCTCTTTCGTTCCAGAACTCCGCATGTGTGTAGTGTCCGCTTGCTTTGGTGGTTTTAGGAATGTTTCTTTCTCCAGACATGATGCTTCCTGTTCGGTGAGCGCTCACGGCTCCTCGGCTCCGTCGGTCAAGTGCAGGGGTCTGAAAACCCCGGCGTTGCCGTCAGTGACAAATGGTGCCCTCGTTTCCCACCTTGGTGGTGGCAGGTACTTGGATGGTTTCCGATGCCGTGGTTACGGGACACACCCCTGCCTCTTCTCAGCATCGTTCCTTCTCTCCCTGCTGAGCTTACCACCCTGTGGCACGTTCTCTCTGTAAACCCGGGCCTTACCTAGTTCATCTTTAAAGGTGTCCTGAGGAGGCTTCATGAGACCTCAGGCCGGGTTGAGCACTTTTTACCGGAGAGCTGGGGACAGTGCGGCGTGAGTGATGTGGGTCCCTCTTGCTCTCATCTCCACGCTTGTCGCCTCTGCGTCTCTGCCCTTCACGTTCCACACCCAGGCAGGCGTGCCGGGACCCGAGGCTGGGACGGGACGCCCGCCTCTGCTCGTGCGGGACCAGCCGGAGCCGCCTTGCAGCACTGTGAGCCGGAGGGAGCCAGAGGGAGCGGGGTGGCCGCAGACCTCCGAGAGGGACACCAGCCCCATGCAGGGGCCTCAGGTGACGGTGGGGGATGGCGAGCAGAGGGCACTCGGGGAGATGGGCTTGGCAAGTTTAAGAAACGAAGACTGGCTTTGTGGCCAGACCTCAGGGAATCTGGCGGCAATGGGTTTTACCAGACGTTGTTTGTTTTGGGCCTTCAGCACGGAGGGACTTGGGTCTGGCACCGCTGCTGAGGTCATCCCAGAGGCAGGCAGAACTGTAAGCGGGTGGTTACAGTTCCACATGGAGTGCCACCGTCCAGTCTCTAGACCACTTCGTGCTTCCGGTGACTAGTATGGAATTCAGAAGCTCCGGTTACTGAGAAGTAGGTTGTTCTAGAAGGACAGGTCTGGGGCTCTTATTCCCAGACTTTCTTTGTGATAGGTTATGTGTATCGTGGCTTAAAACCCTGGCACTAACAGCTTCTTGGAATGTTCCAGTTTCTAGGTTGCGAGGCTCAGTTTCTGTACAACTTAGCGCGTTTCCTTGTCGGGGCTTGAGTACCCAATGTGCTCCGGGAGGCTGGTATGGTTTTGGCCAGCCCGGGGCGGGAGACACGAGTGTGTTACTCTGGAGCGTAAAGGCACTTGCTGCGTCTGAGGTCGGGAGGTCGTGGGAGTGGCTGCTGCTGCCCACCTCCACAGGCCCTGACCCTCAGGAGTGGGGGAGGGTGTGGACCCCTCAGCACTACAGGGCGCTGGCTCAGGAGAGCAGGGCTTGGGGGTGGGGGTCCTTGCCCTGAGCCCAGGAGGCCCAGTTTATTTCCCGGGGTCGGGCTTCATACTCAGGGGGGACGTAGTGATCAGAATGTCCTCTCACTCGAGCCTGACTTTCTTAGAACAGTTGTCTGCAGGGCCCAGGCACGTGCTGTTTATCACGGAGTTTTGTTACCTGCAGTTACCGGAGCTGATGCGGAAACAGTAACCTTCAGTCCGTCCACCTGCCTCACGTCTGTGGTGACCGCCGGCGTGACCGGCCCCGTTTGGCCCCTGTATGTGGTCACCACCCCAAAGGGCCCATGGTGACCCCCCGCACCCCGTCCGAGGGGATGGAGCTGGGATCCGAGGAGATGTTCACCTTGTGCGTGTGGCACCTGGCTGAGACTGTGGGGCCACCCAGCGAAGAGGCCTTTGAGAACTAGGTGTTAGAGTCAGCACCTTTCTTGACCCCAGACGGAGCCTCCTCGTGGCCCTGAGATGCCCTGGATGCGCCTGCTTCAGGCGGGCGCCCACTGGGGTCGAGCAGGGACCAAACATCTCCAGTCACCTGGTTGACCTGCTGGGGAGGGAAATGGGCATCGTGAGAACGTGGAAAGTGTTCAGCGACACTTTCAGCTTCAGCGTCCTTGGCCATGAGCTGTTCTGTTGTCCCCACAGGTGGAAGCATTGGGTTTTGCCACGACCTTGTCTGGTTTGTGGTCCTAAAGCCGCGCATTGACACCAGCTCTTGTGGCGTCTTCACTTTGGCTGCTGGGCTGGGCGGCGTGCAGAGCCGGGAGGTGTCAGGTGACTTCCACTTCTGTCCCCCCAGCCCTCTGCATGGGTCTGTAAGCTGAGTCCGGCCCGCCTGCCCTCTGGCTCTGGGGGTCAGTGGTGCTAGAGGGCTCTGGTGAGTCACAGGGCTGGCGTCTCTGGACACGGAAGGAAGGCACAGTGCCCTTAACCCACAGCCTTCCGGCCTGGAGGACAAGTGGAACAGAGGCGACTGGGCTCAGAGGATGGGCTGAGTGTGCAGGGGCCTCCAGGGGAATGACGTCCCCGTGGCCGTGGTCATTTTTACTGGGGTCCCTAACACCGCGTGGAGGTGGGGGATCCCATCCCTTCCCTGCTGGCTGCCCGCTGAGCAGGAGTCTGGGTTGGTAGATACGGAGAGTTCTGGAGGCCTCTGTTAGGGAGATGAAGCATATATCATCGAGGAGGGATGACCCTGCCACGTGGTCTTGGCAGAGATGGTAGGGAGCGAGCTGTTGAGCTCTTGTGATCTCGGGGGACCTGGGCCCCATTAAGGGGACCCCGGAGCTGGCCTCAGCAGCCAACGGCGGCCCCATTTTGCTAAATCTCCCTATGTCTGGCCCCCTGGCTTTCCTGGGTCTTCTAGCATTGACATAATTTTGTGGCAGGCTGAAGGTTAGTGGGTTTTTAACGAAATGGACTTTCTGTTTGGGTGAAACAATTATTGCGTAATACATCTGTAGAACGTACACAGGTTTGGAAAGCCAGCTGGCCGGGTGTGCTCGCCACATGTTGCGTGCTCTGGGAGACTGAGAAGGACCTGGATCCTCTCCTCCCTTGGGAGAGGCTCCCGTTGCCCAGTCTGGGACCCAGGCAGCCTGCTGGATGTGCTCTAACTCCACAGCCACGTTTTAGGGTGTGTTAAGCAGTGACAGCGGGGACCCGTATTTTGGTTGAAAGTCCCCTTCCCAGGGCGTGTATCTGTGTCAGCTCAGCTTGGAGCTTGGAGATGGTGGTGCGTGGACTTGCAGGTTCCAGTGGGAGGCGGGGTCACCTGTCTCCCTGGTGAGTCTGTGAGCTGAGTGGGGGGACGGCCGGAGCCAGCAGGTGGGCGGCCTCCGACTGGGCCCGGTGGCCTGCCAGCTGGGGCACTTGCCCCACACCACCATCTCCAGCAGGTGACCAACCAGGTAACTTGCTCTCGATACCGTGGAGCGTGGCGGGCTCTTCTTCACGCTGGATCCCACAACTGTAGTCACACTTTTTCTTTCTTCTTTTTTAAGACTTTTTTATTTATCTACGAGAGCGAGAGAAAGCGTGAGTGGGGAAGGGGCAGGGGGTGAGAGCATATCCGAGCAGACCTCCCGCCGAGCAGGGAGCTCAGTCTCACAACCCCAGATCATGACCGACCCCAGGATCAGGACTGGGGTGGAAACCAGGAAAGTCAGAAGTCAAGACACTTCACACCGATGGTGCCCCCGGGCGCCCCGTGCGGCTTTCCCTGCTTTGTGGGCATGCAGGGTCGAAATGCCCCAGCCAGGAACCAGCCCACACGTGGTACGCCCTGGAAGTCAGCTGGCCTGGCCTGTTGCCGTCCTCGGTTGGAGAAATTAGGACAACAGTCATAACTCCAGGACTGACTTCATTTCATTGCATAAGTTCCGCTCGTTGCCCAAGCAGGATTGTAAGGAAGAGCCCGGGTCTTGACATTGTCAGCGGTGCTGGTTGGTCTTTCCCGGGGAGGTTGGGTCTTGGGGGTTTTATTTTTGGTCGCACGCCGTCTCCTGTGATCCTCAGCAAAGTGCACGTGTGGTGACAAGCGACCTGGCAGGACTGGTCTGTTTCCGTGCTTCGAGGATGACGGAGGCCGTCTGTCTTCAAGTCGCTCTGGGAAGGACAGGGTCCCGCTGCCTCCTTTCTCCTCTGACCCTGGAGCTGAACTTTGAGGCTGGCTCAGGCCATTGCTGTGCGGGATCTGGTAGGGAGCTCCGGTGCCGAGCTGGCTCAGGAGGTGAAGCATTCGGGTTCGTGCTGGTTTAAGTCCAGACAGTCTGAACTGTGTGTGTGTGTGTGTTGCACTCGAGGGAGGCGTGCACTCCCTGATGGGCCGATAAGTGTAAAGAGTGCC